ATTGTAATGCGTGGGTGGTGGAGTATCACGTGATCTATCTAGTTCACTTGCCTAGCTATGCGCATGCATGGCCTCGCTATGGCGCCGGTCTAAAAGTAAGTCCTGTACTATTCCAGTGATCATGTACTGTCAATCATTGATATATAGATCAACTGAAGGAAAGAGCTGCTCACTGCACTGTATCAGTAGGTGATTCACTGTATGTGTGGGCTGGTGCTCAGGCTGGTTTACCTAAAGTACATGATAGTGAAGAGAAGAGGAGGTTCACTAGTAATATACAGCACTTTACTCCTTCAACTGGTCAATGGATCACTAGAGGTACTACTGGTACTCCTCCATTAGGAGTAGGTGCATACTGCTGTACTGCAATAAATGATCTATTGTATTATTTCGGGGGAGAGTGTGGCCATGACGACTGCTATCACAACAGTATTACACAACTGGATACTGTTAGTCTTCAATGGAGAGAATTAGAACCAACTGATGCAACTAGACCAGTTATGAGGAGAGGCTACGGTGGAATGATATCATTTGAACATGATGGAGTACACCATTTACTAATGATAGGAGGAATGATGGATGACCTAGTAATGGAAGATGGCGTACTAATGAGCACTCGATGTATAATATATCATCAAGTAAGATTTTATTATTGTTTAAAATTATTTTTAGTAATTTTAATTTAGGAAAATGGAGTAATCCTTTAATCATTGGTCAGTGTATACCACCTGCTAGTGGCTTCATCATTGAAAAGATCGACAACACTAGAGCTGTTCTGTTTGGTGGAGCAGAGACTGATGATGCTAAGGATACTGTTACTAACAATATTTATATATTAGAGATATCAATCAGCACTGTGGTATGTTAAATTATGTGTACTGAATGTATGCACACACACACACACACACACACACACACACACACACACACACACACACACACACACACACACACACACACACACACACACACACACACACACACACACACTAATGTCATTGTTAATGGGTGTGGTTATTTTATTTATTAGTCCTGGCAGTGTATAAAGAAACCTGAAGCAATAGACCAATGGCCTGTGGGTAGATACCATCATGCAGGTGCTATTATTATAACTGGATCAGACTGTCCTATGCTAGTGATAAGTGGTGGGAGGGATAAGAATAATGATACATTAGATGATTGTTGGATCTTTAACATCACTCAACATTCCTGGATAAAGGTATGTACAGTGAGATACATGTAAATTATTAATTTATTTCTATTAACAGTTAGATGTACCTCACTCTGTTAGTAAGAGACATGGTCATTTTCTTTCAGTGTTCATTATGAGTCCTCATTGTGTCTGGATAATAACTGATGGAGGAGTTGTTGATAGGAGCACACCAGTCACTGATCCTAACATTGCTATGGTAACTGAACTAGGTGAGTGCATGATTTACATATGAACACACAAAATGAATTTTAGACTTCAACTTTTTACAGCCCCCGCGATGTAAAATAATTGATTGTATGTCAACACTTACATTTCTTCTCATCTTCTATACATGTTGTATTGCAGAAATAACAATTATGACTCACTTAGCAACGCTCCACCCAGCCCCCTCACATAAGTAGGTGTGGTCACGGTAAACAAAATGGCGGCTTGAAAGCAGAACAAAGTTATGAGCTTTCTAGCAAGAAGAATAAAGCAAAGATGATGCCTAAAGACCTATCAAGAATCGCTTTAAGGTAGAAAGAACCTTTATGAGTCTTAGTAAGAAGAAATAACTGCCTACTATGCACGCAAGGTGGTGAAATCAATCTTAGGACAATTTTTACACTTATACGCTTGTTATTTATTGTCTTAGCGAATAGATCAATGGAAGCATGTGCAACACACCGTATAGCAGGAAATTTTTGTTGCCGGAAACTTTTATTGTCTTTCCAAGCAGGCTTTACAAAATATTTTTGTTGATTTTATTTTCGTTTTGCCTAACATAAATTTTCACTGCCACACCCATTTAATTAGTGCCACGTGTCTGGTTTAATGTCTATGGTTCTGTATGGTTTGCCGTGGTTACCACATTAATAAAGACATTTGGAGCCCATCAGTTGGAGAAGAAAAGAGTGAAAAGAGGATCATGCCATGGGTCAAAATTTTACTTAGATTAAAATTTTCATTGTCTTAAAATTTTGTTCAAATTTTTGGCCAACAAAACAAATGAAAATTAGCACCCAATGAAAATTTCCTGTTAAAAACTTACAGTTATTTTAATATTACCCAATTTAGTTCACTGTCATTATGATTTTTCTTTACATTTTTATAATCATTAGTTCTTGACAGTAATGGAGGGTGTCTGGTAGGTGATACCTATGATTGTCAAAGGATGACTAGTGAAGAATACAAGAAGAAGTATCAGCAGCAACTACAGACAGGAAGAAGAATATGGTTGGAGGAGTACCAGAAACCAAGAAAAGGAGATACAGCCAATATTGAGCAAACCGTACCAGCTCTTATGAAGAGTCTTGAAGAGAAGGAGAGAGAAGCACAAGTTTATCATCAACAATTGGAGCAGAAGGAAGCAGAGAAAGAGCAAGAAATAAGAAGATATCGTCATCAGCTACAGGAGAAGGAAAGGGAGCTACAGGAGAAGGATAGGGAGCTACGTGAGTCTCAAGATCACTGGAGTATTAATAAAGATGAGGTGACTTTGACAAAGGAGGAGTTAGGAAGAGGATCTTATGCCGTTGTTACAGTTGGTATCTTTAGAGGTTTAAGAGTAGCTGTCAAGTCACTTCATAATATCATCATCTCAGATTATAATCTAGGTATCTTCTCCAGGGAAATGAATATAGCATCACGGGTACGTCATCCTAACCTGGTCCAGTTTATTGGTGCAACTAAAGTGGGTAATCCTCTCATCTTGACCGAGCTGATGAGCACTAGTCTTAATCAGGAGATTCGCAGAAACCGATTAAGCAATGAACAGATTCTGAGTATTGCTCAAGATGTAGCTTTAGGCCTCAACTACCTTCACCTGTTTAAGCCTCAGCCTATTATTCACAGAGATGTGAGCAGTCCTAACGTATTATTAAAGCCTTGCAGTGGAGCTGCTGGTTATGAAGCTAAAGTAGCAGATTAT